TCAGAGTTTGTTGGGAGGATTTATCATTTGCCGAAAGCCTTTTTGTGTTTGCACGTATTGATGTTGTACTCCAGTTGTCTAATCCATCAAAACAATCGTTTATATTCTTCAGATTGACATCCAATCAACCTTGCAATCCTTGCATTAGTCCCACTTGATCATAAAGTTTGATTTTTTTGTGTGCCTCTGAAATTGATTTGTATATATTTTGTGGTGATTTTTTAAATCTATGTTTGTGAGTAATATTCATCTGTAGTTTTTCCTTAATGGCTCTGTCTACCATTGGTAACAGAAATATTAGCCTCATAAAATAAATTGTGAAGAATGCTCCCTTCATCTGTTTTCTGGAAGACTTGTGAAGAACTGATATTTCTTCCAGTGCTTAATTAATATATTTGAATCTAGGACTCTTAGAGAAAAGTTTTTTTAATTACTAGTTCAATGTGTCTTTTCTTTTCCATGTTTATTTAGATTTTCAACTTTCTTTGAGTCTGGTGCTTTGTTTATTTTGTGAAATGGACTATCTGTAACTTAGGATAGCCTCAGACTTGCTATGTATCTTATGCTGGCCTTGAACTCATAATTTCTCCTGCCTCAGTCTTCTAAATGCAGGGATTATGCACATGAGCTACCAGAGTAAGATAAGTCAGTTTTAATAATGTGTGTCTTTCTTGAATGAATATTTTTCATCAATTCACTGTCCAGACCATTTCCATAGAGTTATTCTTAGGAGTCCTTTACCAGTTTAACTGTTTGAGGTCCTTTACAAGTCTTTCATTATTAACTTTATTAATCAATGACTTTTCCATTTTCTACCTAAAGGAATGTCAATTCTTACTCACTTAGGCATCTTCCTCATCCCTTTCTAAATTTTTTATCAGAAACTTTTCATACAAATATCTTGAGCCTGTTTTGCTCTCCTTCAACTCCTACCAGATCTTCCTTGAGCACTCAACTTCATCTTCTGTCTTCCTCCACCCCCCCCAACTCCACAAGACAAACATCAAACAAAGCAACAAACAAAAAGGAAAAAAGGGACAAAAACCAAGAGGACCAAAATCCCACAAAACCCAAACCAGCTTCTTGAACTGTACACCAGGTCCCTATATGGGGTTGTGTAATTGAATTTGGGGTTGAAAAAATGCCAACAGAAAAATTTTAAATGTGCAATGACTAAAAATTAATTTGAAATTATCCCAGTGTCATTGTAAAATTCTTTGACAACAGAAACTTTAAGGGGAGATATTTTAGGCTTACAATTCCAAATTACAACTCATCTTTGGAGGGAAGTTAGGGCAAGGCATGGAGCAGCTATCCACAGTCGAGAACACAGAATGAGTGCATGCATTCCCAGCATTTCCACTACTCTTCTCACTTTCTCTGCTTTTACACAGAGCAGACCCATACACTAGAAATGGTGCCACCCACAGTGGGTTGGATCTTCCCGTACCAATTAACAATAAAACAATCCTTAACAAACGTGGCCACAGGCCTACCCAACCTCGGGTGATTCTAGATAGTGTCAAGTTGACAGTTAAAATCAACCATCAAATGTGTAGAGTCCGAGGTGTTTCTGCATCACGTGACTTGGTTCTGTACACATACTGCACATTCTTTGTATTATGTTTGCCTTTGTGCCAGGCATCCTTAATCTGCCTGTCACACCTCAGCTCAGATTTGATAATGCTATGTATTATGAATTTTCTCTTAAATGCAAAGTTTTCTGCTCTCATAGAAACACATGTATATCATAATTATGGAAAACAAAGATTCTTAATATTTTTGTGACAGCGCTCCTTGGTATGTGAATAGCAAATTAATAATATTTCCAGATTGGATTGTGTCAGAAAGTTTGATTTCAAAATCTGGTATTTGAGTTGCTGACTTGAGTTTCATTTTTTAAAATTATTAAGTTAATTTTGTTTGGAATTAGGACAGAATTTTCTGAAATGGTCCCAAGCATACTTTTGTCATTTTGTACTTTTAATTATATACAAAGAAGTTCTAAATGTTGGTGATTATGTAGTCAAAGTATTAATCAACTCTGAAAACACTGACGATATTTATGTTCTGAAGGATCAAATATTCATCCAAGATTTAATATTTACTTATTTGTGTGGGTGGGTGCTTTATCAGCATGTATGTCTGTGTACCGTATGAGTGCAATGCCTCAGGAAGCCAGAAAAAGACATTAGGTGCCTTGAGGCTGGTCACAGATGGTTATCAGCAACCGTGTGTGTGCTGGGGATCAAACTCGGATCCTCCTAAAGATCAACCAGTATCCTTCACTGGCTCTTAATGTCTCCATCCTCATTGTTTAATCCTATATAGAAAATAAATATGTCTATATATCTCTTTAGTATGTAATTTGCTTTCCTTTTAACAACTGGTAAATTTTTGTATAACAAAGAATCAAAGTTATCTTCTTTTTTTAAAAAAAATGAGATGTATTTGTTATTTTCATTTTACCTGTATGAGTGTTTTGCCTGCATGTATTTACATGGAAGCCAGAAGAGGGCACAAGATACTCTGCAACTGATATCAAAGACAGATAATTGCCCTGTGGGTGTTGGGAACCAAATCTAGGTAATTGCAAGAGCATAACATAACAGCCCATACTGTTAATCACAGAGCCATCTCTCCAGCCCCTAAAATCAATTTCTTCATTATTATCAGTAATTGTTTGATTATACAGATATATATGTGGTCACATAAAATTGTGATGCGTTATCTCATCATCATCTGTTTTCAAGCAACACTAATTTAAATCCAGATTAATAAAGAAATGCATTTCACAGATTTTTGAATATATCATCTTATTTTCTTCTTGCCTCCTTTGTTGCTGATTTAGAAAGCCTCAGTTTTTAATCTCATTCTCTTTTCCTGTATGTGCTGTGTCATTTCAGTTTGAGTGTCTTTTTATAGTGTCTTTATATCCCTCTTTGATAAGTCAGTAACATGCTTTCCATTAATTCTTTTGTTCTTGTTAGTTCTCTGAACACATGTATAATTTTGAAGTTCTTATATGCCAAATAATCTAATGTTAAAGGCTTCAAAGAGGCATTTTCTATTGACTGCTATGTTTCCTTTCTTGTGTATGGTTATACCTTCCTTCCACATTCATAATTGTGTTCTTGAAAGTAATGCATTTTAGATAATATATTAGAAGGATGTATAATTCTTAGTTGCCCATCCCAGAGATTGAGTTTATTGGTTTTTCAGTTACCAGGACTAAAATTCTAGTCTATCACTCCTAAGTCAGGTAGTTACTGATGTCTCCAATTAAAAAATTAAATTCTTTAGGCACTGGAGAGTGGCTCAGTGGTTCAGAGTACTGTTTGCTCTTCCAGAGGACCTAAGTTGAATTCCTGGCACCCATAGAGTGGTTCATAACCCTTTATAACTCTAGTCCCAGGGGATCTGATACCCTCTTCTGGCCTCTGAGGGCATTGAGTGCTCATTGTACACAGACATACATGCAAAAAACCACCAGTACAATTAAATGTTTATTTGTTTGTTAATTAATCCTTTGAGGATATTTTAAGGTCAACTTCCTAGGGATTGCCTTCACATTGATACAAATTAATAATGAGTCAATAATTGATCAGAGATGTGCTTACTTAACTGTTAAAGGTTGGTTTTCTGTCCCAACTGGTTCCACTGCCATTTCAGTCCCAAATGAACACACAGATGCTATATTAATTATAAAATTGTTGGCTGGCGGCTAGTGCTTCTTATTGGCTAGTTCTGTCTTATTAACCCATTTCTATCAATGTAAGTATTTCCACGTTGTCTTGGCTTACCAGCGAACACCCAGATTTGCTTCTCCTCTGGCAGCATACATGATGACGCCTTCTGCCTATGCTTCCCAGAATTTTCCTCATCTCCTAGCTCTGCCCATCTCCTGCCTGATCAATCAGTGTTTTATTCATCAACTAATAAGAGAAACAAATATACACAAGACATCCCCATTACTTAACTGAGCCAATAAGGCTAGGCAGTAGATATGCTGATGAATGAGAAACAGTAAATACTTGGGTAGTAATATGGCATCTGTGTCTCCCCTGTGAGAGTTCTAGGGTTCATATTCATGTGTGAGTACGTCAAAATCTAAAGCTCTCTACAGATCCCCTGAATATATGTAGCCTTATTGTAAGACAAGTGATCAGTTTTCACTGCAGCAGTCTTATTCCCACAAATTTCTCTTAAAAATTCATGTGATTCTGATAATCTATGCCTTATTCCTACCAGAATCACAGCTTCATACTGTCTGAGATAGGTCTGTGTGCAATAAACCTCCTTAAGCAGGTAATCCTTCTTACCATTTGTATTAGTTTCCTAGGTTTTTCAATAACAAATTATTGTGGCTTAAAATAAAGAAGCACGTTTTATTTTATTGTTTATGAAGCCACAAGTCTGAAATCAAAATATTAGCATGGTTGCTTTCTTTTGCAAGCTCTGAAGGAGAATCTGTTCCATTCCTCTCTCCTAGCTTCTGGAACTGCCAGAATCCTTTAGCGTAGCAGCATCTCTCCAGGCTTTTGGTTGGTATCACACAGCCTTTTTTCCTGTGTCCATGCATCTGAAGGTTCTTTACCTTTGTATTGCAAACACAGCAGTCATTAGATATAGGACCCTCCCTAATCCTATGTCTCCATAGTAACATTGCATCCTCAGTGATCCTATTTCCAAATCAGATCACAAAGTTTTAGTACACAAATTTGGGGAGACAGTATTCCCTTCACTATAAAGTATCACTAAAAGTAAGTATGATCTCTTTTGTGAATTGGGTAATGTTTTATGAAGATAAGTTTAGATTGAATGGAACATCAAGTTGGTAGTACTAACATGACAGTTTCTGTGTTCCTTAAGGTAACTTATGTCCTCCTTTTATTATTTTGTTCATGCTGTTAAGAAAAAGACACAGTTCTGTGGAAAGGAAAGGGCTGGCAGAATCTTCCTCTTCTCCATTCTAATTTATATGTCTGTTTTTAATCTAGAGCCAAATAACTATCGGAGCATGCATGGTCGGGCAGTAAATGGTAGCCAGTTGGGAAAGGATTACATCCAGCTGAAGAGGCTGCTGCAACCCATCCGGATTTACTCCAGAGCCAGCTTGTATGGCCCTAATATTGGACGGCCCAGGAAGAACGTCATTGCTCTCCTAGATGGGTAGGTCAGATTATTTAGCTGTCCTTACTGCATTGCTCATTAAATATAATGGAATGAAGTATTTGTGTTTATTCTGGTTATTTTCATATTTAAGAGGAAAAGGGACTTTCTCGTAGTTGTTTGCTTCTGAACCGAGATTCTTCAACAAACAATAGGCTCAGGGTTTGGGGGGAGTGGCATATCTTAGTATCTAGGTGGCTTGAACAGAATGTATTGTTTGCAAAAAAGTCATTTGATATAGGATTTTATTGAATCATTTCATGTTTTTAAACGATTGGGAAACATTATACATATTTACAAATTAAAATAGAACTGAACTAATACTTTAGTAGCCGACATTCATTATAACTGTTATCACTTGCTTGATTTTGACTGACCTGACAAACATCTTTCGTGTGATGGTGCAAAGCATGATGTTAAATGTTCTCTAACTCAGCTCAGGCAATGGGCTAGTCTCAACTGAATTATATATATATCATACAGATTTAGTTTAGTTATACAGGGTTGGAAGAAATGCTTGACCATGAATTTGTTGCCAGCAATTAGGAAGAATTTCAATTAGAGAGAACCACATTAGAGTTGTGGAGGCTTAATATAGATATATATTAAATTAAGGCACAAAATGAAAATGTAACTGGAGCAAGAATAAGAATAATGAGGTTGGGAGATTCACATGTTATATGTGGTGTGTAGTTTGAATCTAGAGTAGGAATGGTTATCCATGAATTTCAATGTGAGTAAGATAGCTTCCAATGATGTGTGTGGACCAAGAAGTTAGATAAAAGTCATGGAAGCATAAGCAAACGGAAAGAATAAAGGGTGTTTCCAGAATGACTGTGTGTCTCCATGGCTTGTAGGATACCTTTCATTTTTGATTACTCAGTCTTGATTTGAGCTTGTGAACATACCAGACTTTACAGAAGGTCTGGAGAAAGCACAGAGATTTATATTATAACCACCATTAAGGTGGGGTGATGCAGAAATATTAAACTACACAAAATATGGATGTCCTATGATATTTATTGAAAGAGAAATCACACGTGAAAAGCCTAGAAAGCTGAGAACCAAAGGTCCTCACGCTGCTCTCCAGGCCAAAACTGAAACCCAAAGAGTGAGAGTCTCCTATCCCTAGCTTAATTTGTCCCCATATTGTTCTACATACCCATGAACACACCCACACGGGAGTGGTTAGTGCTAAGGATACATAAAATCTTTCCATACAGTGGGGTTTAGGCATTTTTCTCCATATTAGTCATTGCATTTTTACCTCAATGACCTTTCTAAATCTCCTCTTCATTCCTTCTTTCCTTTTCTTGCTCAAGAGCTATTTACTTCCTTTTGGTTGAAAAATTGTATGGCCTTGGTCCCTATTCATTAGCTAGGGGCTTCCTTCTTCATGCTCATTGAACTTTGATATTTCTCTTTGCATGTGTGTGATGAGGGGCAGGACAGAGATGAAGAGGAGGCTTTCATTTGTCCTGTTATATTCAGTGTACTAAGACTAGTCGTGGTATACTTTTTCATATTTCACAGGTTTGTAATAAAAAATCTAATCATTCTATCCTTTGTATATATAGTTATTATTTTAAAATATTCTTTTCCTTTAATAATTTGACTAATGTGTCTCCATATGAACTACAGTGTCATTCTAATAGTCTGAAATGTTATAAATCATTTATTCATTCTCATTCTAAAGCTATTTCTTGAGCAACAACTGTGTTCTAAGTAATATGCTAGTAATTGAGATAATGATAAAATAGATAACACTCTTTACCTTCATGAAGTAACCACTAAGTTAGAAGAGACATAGACATTAATCAGAAGCATAAAAACAGAACAGTATGAAGAAGCAGTACATGGTTATATTAATGACTCTAAGTGCTGTGGCTTGCTTGAATTAGGAAAATTCATGGAATATAAAGAATGATTATCTGACTACACAACATGAGAAGTGAACAGTATCAGTGGTTATTTTATGTATATAGTTTTAGAATGAAAACCATGTACAGTGACACATCAAGAATGAAAACTGGCTAGGCTGGCTGGAGTGTCAGAACAGTAAGGAAGAGGTGTGTTCTATCAGGGATTGTAGGCATAACGAAAGACTTGTTGTTCCTTCTAAAGGCATTCAGGATGACAGAGGATGTTTTAAGCTATTTGTTATATGAAAAGGATGTTGTGGAAAATAGAGAGAATCCAGGAAAATCCATGAGACAATTGCTTCAGTAATACAGAGGGGGAAATAATAGGGGCCTGAAGTAGAGTGGTAGCAACTGGAAGTAGAATCTATAAGAATGGTAGTACACTGAGAAAATATACGCCAATGTAATGTAGATAGGCATAGTTAAGTGGATGGTGCCATTTGCTGAAAAGAGGAGACAGGAATCCTTCTAACTAACTAGTTCTGAAAATAAAACTCTGCTTTAGTTTCCATGCTAACAAAATAAATATAGATGTCAAGAATATAATTTAACAGGTGTGAAGAGATCAGGTTCTCTGTTAGAGATATTTATTCATTTGGGAAGTTTTTAGCACAAAGGTTAGATTTAAAGCCATGAGAATGGAGGAGATAAGTTGGCGGGCAAAAAGAAAAGAAGGGTTTAGGCGATAGCCTGTAGAACCTGCATGCAGAAGTAAGACAACTGGCAAGAAGAATAAGGCACATGAAAATAGACTTTAAATAAAGAGAGTGGGGCAAACAATAGGATGACAGAAGGAGTCCTGTGGATTTGGCGGCATGTAGATTGTTTATGACCTCGAGAGACAGTTCAGGAGATGGGAAATTGAAGCTGGGTTGCAGAGGCTTGCAGAGTGGACAATAAGATTCTGCCGGCAATAATGTGGATAAGAATACTGAGAATAATGTTTACTGTGAAGAAACCCAAAGACAACTGGAGGGAGCTGTGTCATCAGGGAAGATGACTGTTCTTTCCTTTAATGTAGAATAGAGTAGAACAATTTTGTAGGTTAAGGTATACCCAGGGAGAAGAAAGGGGAGATATAACCAAGTTAAGACATCCTTTAAAGCTGAAGGAAATGGAAACCAGAATGATTGACATTCTGGAGAGGACAATTCTCCCATGGTAATAAAAGATAAGAAACAAACATTTTTCTGCATTGAGGGGCTTAAAAAGTCATATATATGAGGAAACTCTGCCCCCACTACAGTAAGCGTAATTAAGATGCTAAGTTTGTGTACAAGATACAAGCATGAGTACATGCATACTACCTTGTATTCTATGATTAAGTTGAGAAATTTAACACAGTGGTGAATGAGAAGAGCATACACTGTCATTTGACAATGAAATGTCCCCTTATAGGCTCATGTGTTGAACACTTGACAGTTCCCAGATGGTGGCACTGTCTTGGGAAGTGCTGGAGTCATTAAGAGGTGAAGTCTAGCTAGAGGAATTGAGTCATGGGACAGCAGAAGTTCTTCTGAGGAGACACAGCTTTCCCTGGACCTTCCTGTTTCTCAGCTTCCTAGCTACCATAGTGTTCTGATTTACACCAGGCCATAAGCAATGGAGTCATCCAACTATGTTCTGAAACCCTGAGCCCCAGTAAACCCTCCCTCCCTTAGTGTGTTTCTCTCTGGTGTTGGTCACAGCAACAGAAAATCTGACTAGCAAAGCATGTGGTTAGAGTTTTGTAGTAGCAAATTTCTTCATATCTAAACATGAAATAGGACAATAAACAAACACAAAACCAGAAAAAGTCATTTAGGGTAAGGAAAGATATTGATGAACATTTTTTTCTTTTAGGTGCAAAACTAAAAATTTAATTTTCTTACTATGTGTATGTGAAATAAAAGTAGAAAGAACTATCCCAGAAGCTTAACCAACAGAACAGAAACATCAGCTCTGTAATTTAGCAGCTCGTAGTCTTTTCCAATCCCCTTGGTTATACAGGTACAGTATTACATAGATGTGACCATTGCAGAGTCATCATTTTGAGCATCTATTTTTATTCATGCTTCATATGGCCCTGATTTCTGCATGCTTCTCATAATTGTCATTCTTAGTAGAAATAAAATATTCCGCTGAATTAATATACCAAAGTCTAACTAAGCATCCTCCTTCTATTGCGCATTTGGCCTGTTTCCAGTTTTTGCTTATAATGTAGTACAACTATAAATATCTTTATACAAATAGATTTTGAAATTTTTCTTTTAAATCATATTCCTGGGCAGTATCCAAAAAGTTGGGTTTCTGGGTCAAAAATGTATATTAATTTTATGGCTTTATATTTGCTGCCAAATTTCTTTTCAGAATGATTTCACTAGGTGAAAAGCAGTTGTATATCACTGTAACATTTCCAAATATCACACAACAATAAGCACTGACAGTATTAATTAAATTTGTTTAAATTAACATAGGATCATGTTTCATGCTTGTTTATATTTGAGTTTGTTAACTTCAACACAGCTGGGTCTTCTCCTGCTCTCTCTGTTGTGTTTTCTTGTCTCTCTTATTTATTTCTCTATTTATTTATGTTTGTGTGTGTGTGTGTTAGTGTGTGTGTTTGTGTGTGTGTGTGTGTGTGTGTGTGTGTGTGAGGGAAGATGAATACATGTATGTTCCTATGTGTGTGAGGCTGTGCTCAAGTGTGAATGAGCATGTGGAGGCCCTCTGCCTTTCTTGCTCTCCTCCTTGGTTGGTTTTGTTTGTTAACTGGTTTGGGTTTTTGTTTTAATTTTGAGAGAGAGTCTCTTAGGGGTTGCTGAAAATGGTGGTTGCCATTTCAGCTAGATTGACTGGCCAGTGAAACTCCAGAGTCTGCCATCTCTGCTCCTAACTCCCAGTAATGGTGTTTCAGGTATCTGCCACAGGGCCCAGATTTTATTACATGATGGGGATCCAGACTCAGGTCCTCATGCCTGCATACATGGTGCTTTACCTACTAGACCATATCCTCAGCCCTATCTTTATTTCTCACATTCCAGACTTGACTAATAATACAATAACCATTTTCCTGCAACCCAGGGCATTTTTAACTAT